ACAATAATAACAATTTATGTATTTTCTCACTATTTTCACTGTGAAACTTTTGAGTGGTTCTTCACTGAGTTCAATCATAGATGACATCATCCACAGACCATGTTCCCACCAGAAGGGGGCAACACTAAACCATAGACTGTATAAAAAAAAACTAATAGAACTGAAATTCACATGTTAAATTAACGGAGTCCATTTCTACATCGACTCAATGGAAAACATGATTACTCATCTGAATGTGAATGTCTAGAAGAAATGTGAATGCGATCCAAATGTATTTCTTAAACAAAATGGAACAGGATGTGGAATAAGAGGCCTCTTGACCACGTGCTGTAGTTCTTACTTGTTTTATTTGTTTAAAGAACCAAAGTCTGCTGGATTTAGATTGGAAACAACTTTCTTAAAAACCCTTTTATCATATAAAACTCGCCAACGTGAGCAGGATCTAACCGGTTCTCTGTGTTTTCAGCCTGCAGTGTGTGTTTGCCTGCGGCTCTGAGTTGCACAGAGAAGAGACTCTGAGGTGAAGTCTGGCCAAAGGATCAAAAGTGTGTGCGTGGGATTTCAGGTCCACTGGCTATGATGCCACTCTAGCGTTCAAATATTAGAGGCTTTGTGGTCGCTCTTGTTTCCACCTCGGCCAATCAGCTTCGACCACAGAGCATCTGCCACAGGGACGAGAGGATATCAAATGTCCCAAGAAATACACAGGAGCTTGTTTCACTGGGACCACGCTGCCATTTAGTACAGAGATGTGATCCAGGACTTGTTGTTTGTATCTGTTTACTTTGGTTCGGGTGGTGATTTTATAAATAGAGAGCTTAGTCACATATGAAGCAGACAGATGAGTCTCTCATCTTCACTTCACATTATGAATAATCTGAATCCACCTGTCTGAGAAGAAATACACAAATATCATACTCTGTTGTTTTTGCAGTGGTTTTAAATCTCAGATATATGTTAGATAGTCAGGTACCTTAACACATTTATAAATAAAGATTATATCCTGGTGAGGATTTTAGTAAACTGATGAAACCTGTGGCACAGTGTTCACCTGCATTAAAGTGTTTTTAAACAGATCGAGCAGCAGACGAGAAGCAAATCATTGCAATGTCATTTCAAACGAAGATGGGAAATGATGTAACACATAAAGATAAAATAGTACAACGCCATTTAAAAGTAATGTCAAAAATAAAGGATAAAAGAGACATAAGTACTGTGACTGTGACTGTTGCCCTGTGCTCAGTGTGGGATCATCATTCTCTATAATTTTTAAGGTTGTGACCTTCTATGTAAAAAGTGCCTTGAGAAAAATGTATATTATTGTAAATAAAACTGAATTGAAATTGAATTAAATAAACCAACTCAACAGAAGAGCTTCAGTGAGTCTGAGTCTGAGGAGCTGCCATACTTGAACTTCATCCAATAACAACAGTATACACATGTCAGAACATATGTCGTCTTGCTGAGTGATTCAAGCCGACAGTTAACGTCATGGCCTAAAGATGATGATGAGCTTTTTAAACTTTGATCTGTCTCATCAAACACATACATATACATTTCTCCCTCTGCTCACCAGCCTGCAGGCTCATTACAAATATTCTTTCAAACCGCATTGAAAACGCCTCCGGAGAGTGAACTATTTATAAGTCAGATGTGAGCTCCAGAGTGTCTGTCGGACAGTTGGTTGCGGGAGGCTGTGCACGTTCTCATCACCTTTCGACGAGGTTTCCTCCGCACAAGGTTGTTTGAAGCAGTGAGCAAAGACATCTCGCTCCTTCTGCGTCCACGACACTTTCCCTCTGCCCTGCGAGGTGAGACATTTTATTTTCACACACTTACTCTCACATAGATGCTTTACGTGTTTATTGTGCTGTCTTGTTTTTACAGTGATGCCATAAACATATTTCAGAGCACTGTGAGATTCTCAGTTTTCTCTGAGGAAGTAGACATTTTAATTTATGACTTTTACTTTTTTCATTTCTTTAGTTAAGTTCATGTCATACAACAACTAAATGCAAGAAGGAAAAGTTAAAAATAATATATGTGGGGTGTGGAAGACAACAGTAATGTCTTATAATGGAAACCACACCCAAATATAAAGAAATGCAAAAAATACAAAACATACAACCTTGACATTTACCCAAGGTACACTGTATTGAATTCAGAACATATAAAATGTATTGATATGAATGATATATACATTTTTATTTGATAATATGATAAAACATTCTCAATGTATGAAAATATTACATCGAGGTTTATGTTTATGTTGCTCGTTGGCTCTATTTTAAAAGATGACACAAATGCGCCACACGTTTCATGTTGCAGTGGGTGAACACGTCCCTTTAGTCTTACTGACTTTATTCTCACTTTAATCTCATGACCTCACTGGTCAAAGTTGTCCTCTGCCCCTTGGAATCCAAACCTCCAGCGAGGCCATAAACAGCTCGTAACGACGATTGACAGACAAAGAGCCGTGTGTGGTTCCACATTGTGGCCAAAGGAGAGATTTGTCTGGGTTAATTTTAACTCTGGATCGTCCAAGCACCTGTGCTGCAAAGGAAAATGACAGTGTTAGTCGAAGGTCAACGAGGGGTGCCTGGATCGCTGCATGCCTTGCTGAGGTGTAAAAATTTAAACCAGGTTTTTGTGCTGGCTGTGGACTGGGTGACATTTTATCAGGGCGGACCTTTGGGTTTGAGCTGCAGCTCCTCTCAGTCCCTCACACTGTTGGATAACAGCAGAAAAAATGAAATGAGAAATCATCTCACGGCAGATTCTTATAAAACTTAACAAAAAGAGTCTTTGAGGTAAAGATCAATATTTGTCTCCTCTCATATGTCTGACAGAAAACATATGAGTGAGAAGTGACTGAATATGACTTTAATCACTAACTGTGTGTGTGTGTGTGTGTGTGTGTGTG